TCAACTTGCTCGCATCAATGGAGAAGAATATCTTGGAATGGGATGGTGTAAGGTACATCGATATGGCGAGAATGAGTGGATGGGCAACAAGTGGGACAATCCGCAATGGATAGTCGAATTGTCGAAAAGATTCAATGCAGCGCTACGCCACTCCGTGGGTTGCGTCAAAGACAATCGAAATCACCGTGGACTACCATGCGATGAAGCAGGTTGGGTCAATGTCGAGTCGATCTTGAAGTACGACAACATTTGGAGAGACCAACATACATTGGCTGGAACGACCCGCGTCAACTACCCAATACTTGTTGAGAGGTGGAACAATTTCCAGAGAGTGATCTTCACTGAGTACAAGCAGACGAAAAGGATCCGAGCTCAAGTGCTAGGACTCAAAGTCACGAAAGGTGAGTTGGAACACATCATGAACAACTTCAATGACGAATTGACCTCGAGACTTGAACGACACACACTGAGGTTGGAAATCGGAACAGCAGATCGAGAGATTTGGCTATGGCCGTGGCAATCCGTGCCCCTATGGCGCATTCAAGAGTTCAAGGCGGTGTGCACATTGAAGACAAGAAGACTTCCTATCAAATGAACCCTGGAGTCGGATACACTCTTGGAGGAGGATTTCATTGCACCACTTTTGACAACATCGCTCAAATCTTCAGAGAAGGACTACGTCCCGGAGGAGGAGGCGACCGCATCAACACGTTCTTCGTGCCATTCGCACCGTGGGACGTACGAAGTCAGTCGGTGCTGAGGTTCAGGAAGATCGAACAAACTGATCTTGTCTACATCTACATCACGTACGATTCCATCGCCAAGTTCTCCCCTCGATTGTCAGCAGACGGACACATTTTGGTCCAAGAAACAATTCCATTCGAATCATTCGATGCAGTTTGGTACTACGATTGCAAGGAAAAGGACTACTACCGTCTTATGATCACGAAGGGGAAAGATCAACTCGTGCTTTCTGTACAAGGAGCAAGGAGGGTGGCCACCATTGAACGATTTGACAAACTCATTGGGAACATTGTGCCTGATGAATCATCACCCGATCTGAACGAACTTCGAAAGCTTGTCGATATCAAGACCGGTCACTTCAGTCATGCTCACAGATTGTTCCCTGGACATCCGGATTGGAATGATGCAATATCATTGTTAGCAGTCACTCATCATCCCAGCAAGGAGGACCATCGACTATGCCCCGCATGTCTGATGGAGACCCCTGCACCACTATCGATTTGTGTGATGTGCAAAGGATTTTTGGTGAGTCATGGATGGAGGAAACGTATCAAGATCACCGTGGCTACAGTACCAAGCGCCGAATCACATCATCGAGAAGAAGATCTCAAAGACCATGTCAAGAAAGCATGGGAGGAGGTGAAGATCGATTTGACAGGTGATGGTGATGATGACGAGATGATGCCAGATGATGATGACGTCAACATGAAGAGTCCAGAACAAGAACCTCAACCAGAAGAGGGAGATGATGACCAAGCCTCGAAGAAGGGCGACATCAATGATGAGAAAAGAGACTTCAGAGAACAAGATGAGGTCGACAAGTTTCTCAACCAAGAAGGAAAACCGACCGACGAGAATGACGATGAAGAGATAGCGGTCGATGAAATCAACATTGAAGAATATGAGGCTGGAGAAGCTCGTGATGCAGTGATTGAGTACCCCAAGTGGATGAAGCGGATTGAGTTTGGATCAAAAGTCCTACCAATCGAGCCTTGCACAATTGGAGATGCTCAGCCGGAGCTCATCAAGATCCTCCTGTTGCAGATTGGATTACATATCGTCAGGATCTACAGACTATTCCAACGGAACTTCTGTGGAGACATCGAGACGGCATGGAAACACTTTCAACAGAACCGGAAATTCAGGATGGACCTGGACTCAAGGGTGCCTTACCTAGGCGAGGATGAGAATGGTGAACTCATTGAACCAACTGCACAACAGATGAAAGAGCTCTACAAAGAGATCGGCCGACCAAATCAAAAGGACGACATCGGAGAAGAGGGATTCGTCAATGCATACTATGGGGCAGTGGTACTCAAAAGACTTCTCATATATACCCTTGAATGTGGCTACACGTATGATGACTTACAAAATATCTTCTTTGAAGAGGAGATGGAGAAGCTGTCGAAACGTGACACAACGATGGATGAGATGAGAAAGACCACAGCGGCCCGCGACGCCCTTGACCGACAAGACGTCATGGTCAGAAGAATCATTGCAGGTGCATACAGGGTGAATGCTGTTTATTTCTTCAGGAACGTCGACTTTCAAGACACAATCACACTGAACCCAGTTGACATTGTGTGTGCTCTTCGTCCCGCACTTCGAAGAATATCACTTTTGCACCTGATCCTTCAAAATGGCCGACAATTGCCACGACCTCTACTCCAGAAGTTGTATGATGCGATCGATGACTACAACCACATCAAACAACGGGACGATCAACGACCAAGATGGGGCATTCATATGTCTGACGCCCACATACTTGCGATTGCTGATACCCCAACTCCTGCTGAACGTGAACGTGCTAACCAAGCCGCTGGCAAATCGAAAGCAGCCCCGAAAGCGGCAACAGCACTGGGCAGGGTGTCAAAAGCGAAGGCATCATCGTCAGCAACTTGGAGAACAGTTGAAACCGCTCCTCCGCCAAAACAAGCTCCAGTAACCCCGCCACAAAAGGGTGGAAAAGACAAAGGAAAAGGTGGAAGATCTTATTCGCATCGTGGTGGCGACTGGAACCAACAGGGATACTATGGATGGGGATATAGATGATGAATCGATATGACCTCTGCATAGGTCCTGATTGAATTTGGCGATGCGAGGATGCAATCATTGCTCGAGATTTACCTCTATTTCATTTCGAATGATTTCTGAGAGGACTCTGAGCCGGCTAATTTAGAACCAAACATTTTTTTTTGAACATCATTGCGCGAGACGCTGAGTTTCTACAGCGGTCTACATCTCAACCGACGAAGGAACGGGAAGGTAAACTTCTAGTTCCATAGTCAAATTTGCGTTTTGATTTCTTTAATTCACATGCTTGAGTGGGATTCCATGCTGGCTACGCCACATCGGATGAACCTCAATGCTAGACACCGACTACGTCGTGTCTACGTGCACGTGAACAGAACCTTTTGTCTTTTGGTAGAGATCGTAGCAAGCCGCCATGTAGATGTAAAGTTCTGAACGGACTTTTGCTCTCCATAATTCAATAAATGAACAGCTGCAGATGTAGTGGATCAATTCGAGGGACACTCCTTAGCGCGTGGCCGACAAAGTTGGCCATGTGTGGGGGGTGCGAATAGAGTGTAGGCTACGGACAGTTGCACATTATCACAATTAAACACTCTAGGATCCAGCACCAAAGGGGCTCTTCAAACTGGCCTCTTTGGCTCAAGACCCACTGCAGCACTGGAGAAAACAACAGCAATGCGGAAGCTGATGCCCTTGTAACGTCATCACTGGAACGACTACTTCGACATAAACTATCAGGATATAATCGGACAAACAACCCCCGATTCGCAATATAATATAATATAATATACAATACATATGACATATTCCATTGTTGGGCCAACTTGACCTGATGGGAAGGTCAATGACGCCTGGGGCGCAGCTTGCACAGATCTGCCGGATGGAGCACAACTGGGTGACTTGGCAGCGAAAATGCGTAGCATCGCATTGGAGATGTGGGGGTTTCCGAAAATAGGGGTATCCAAACTCAGACTATTTTGGTATATCATATTGAAATCCATGGTTTTGGGGTACCCCCATTGTAGGAAACCACCATATGGGTTTGGGTGTGAACATGGGGAACCCACAATTCCAAGGGACTAATAGATATTGCCATCACTTGTCCCATCTAAATCACGACTCCGCTCTCCGTTAAAACCATTGCTGGAAGCACTTCTGCCGGGTTTCCAGAATATCCAAGAGCAGAGGTATCTTCAACGGTGGTTCCAGTCCAGAGATGCTGGGTGCCATCTACTACAAGTGCCCCATGCAGAAATTTTAACGTTTGTAGCGGCAATGGACACGTTGCTTTGCCTGAAGGTGTTTTGAAGGTGTTTTGCCAAGGTGTGTCGCATGCGGCTCTGGGTAAGAGCCCTGAATCATTCCCCTGGTTCTTTTAGAATTCTATTGTATTGGGAGTTCGGAGGCTGCGCTTGAACACAATGTGAAAGAAAGAAACCTGCCTTGCCGAAAAAGACAATACCACGACCATGTTTTTCGCCTTTTCACTTACTGTAGCACCTACGATTCTACACCAGAGCCCACAAACTGGTTATTGTGATTTTTTGTGTAGAAGTGCTGGAGTGAATTTCGCAAAAATGGAATATTTGAACACTACAACACCTGGCCATTAGTTGCATTCTTGTACTTCATCCACAATTAGCATTTTTCTAAATCTAATGTAGTTCCCGCATATTCACACTAACATTCAGACATTCACATCGAAAAACACGCACACACACACACGCACACACATGCGAACAGCAGCAAGGTAACATGTGGCATCTTTGCAGACAAAGACTACTGTGTTGGAATATCGTCTGGAATCGGTTTCAAGGTACTGCAAGTCAGTCAATGTCCATGCCTCAATTTGCAAGTGATTGTATTTGGAAGGGTCTTCGAGTTGAATAACATGCGTCATTGGCATTTCAAATAATTTCAACAGAATGCTTGAAAGTTCTATTGGCAGATGTGTTGACTCAGTCGGTGTCTGTGGATGTGTGTTGAACATTTGCACTGCACGCACGGCTCGTTCTTGTTTTGGGGAACCCCCTGGTCCAAAAGTTCATTTGCTGCCCTGACAAATGACTTTGAATGGTCGTGCTTGTTTCAGCTGAGGTTCCGAGTCAATACACCAGCACTGGCGCTTTGTCTGTTTGATTCTCAATTGCAAAGCTTAGCCGTGTAAGGCCGAAGCACATAGATATAGAAAGACGATTGAAGAAAATTGCAAAGGTGTGGGGATGGACCTTCACAATCTTCTGCACCTGGACTGGTTTCGTCCTCCTCTTTGTGGGCATCTGTTGGGTCATCAGCCTTCCGCGGAAAGCCTGGGACCCGGCAACGTGATGCGTTTGGATGAAGGGTACTTTTTTTTGATGATCAACGTGCTCCTGACCATGCATAATCGTGCATACCATGGCTGATATGACTTAGTGACTTGATATGAGCTGTGGTCAATACTCATGGTTAATAATCATTAAAAACGGGGCTAGTCATCCAATGGTTCATAGGGATTTATAATAACCATTATTTTTGGATCCTTATTATGGATGGGATGACCATCAACCATATAGTGAGTAGGACGACCATGGCTGGTTTGGCATTGGCTGTTCCAGCAAGGTCGCAGCACAGTGGAGAACCATTCGTCGGCGACGAGCCCCGAGTGAGACTTTGGTGTAGGCGACGCTGGTCCAGACCTGTGGCGGTGGTGAGAACCAATATGAAACAATTATATAATGTATCCCATGGAGAGAAACAATTTACTGTATAGTAATTCATATTATTCATATTATTCATATTCATTTATGACGATTTTTGTATCGCAAACATCACCTGTGGTTTACCCAATACGAGCTGTATCTTCGCAGGGTGAGGTCCGAGGCCGCTGAAAGCTGCAGATCTGACCCAATCCGGTGCGCTATGTGCCTTGTGCTGTAGATGTATTGTGTGGTGAAGGACATTGAAACACGTCAAACATATCCTTTTGGGGATGGTTTATACATACAACCCATTTCTGGTAAAATTATGGGGACAGTTCATGGTTTTGGGTTTACCATTTACATCCATTTACCACGGACATTTGTTTTAGGAGCCTGGCCAGAAGTCAGGAGCAGATTGCAAAGCCATTTCTGCTAGTCGACTGCCAGTGAAGCGCGCTGGCACGACGGTGAAACTGCGCAGGCGACTTCCAGCTGAGCGAAGCCCTGTGCCGTTTGGGCTGGAGTGAGTCTTTGAGAGGTTCAATATGGTGCAGCAGAAAAGTGTGAAGCCCTGTGTATAAATTAGATATACGACACTGAAACAGGGAATGATATGAACCACAAAAAACCATGTGCCTATGTGTTCTGTAAGACTCGCTCACATTGGGTTCACACAAACATCATCTCCCTGGCTCCCGAACACAGATGGCATGAATATGTGAGCACCTCAGAGACATCGCCACGCAAACGGTGAGTCGACCAGTGACGTGGTTGATGATTTCACCGGTAGATCTCCAGTTGGGCAATCTCAACCTTCACCGGTACCTGGGGGATCCAAATTTCGAACGGAGATTTCAGCACCAAGGTGGATTCACTGCTGGTGACGTGCCTCACCGAGGTGGGAGAGAAGTCACAAAAAACCGTTGCGCAGCAGGGGTAGTGATGAAACGATAAGTGGTTTGTAGATGGTGTGTAAATGGGACGTACTGGCGTACAATTACAGTCTAGTTATATCCTGAGTGTTGGAAAATTGCCAATGGTTGGAAATCAAATGCGGTATGCTCCACAACTACTCCAAAGTCAAGGGTCTTGACCATTTACGGATGATAAGTGCCCTGTTGGCAAGGCACTGAGTGCAGACCTCCACATGGCACTGTCTGAGCTGTGGCAAGGGGAAGCGCGCAGTAGTTGGGCGAGAGGGAGGGGAAAAAAGGGGCATTTCATCAAGAAAAACAGGGATGAACTCATTATATAATTGATGAACATGGATTATTTAACCCACCAAAAGAATTGGCAATGTGGTCAAAATGTCAAAATCGCCTCCAAAAACTCGTGGGTTTTGTTGGTTGACAACTTGTTTTGTTGGGATGGATGGTCATCGTCATCAATCCATTGGAATTTCTTTTTTCCGATTCCGATTGGATGCAAAACGTTGCAATTGGACGAGACAAGAGCACTTGAATTTTCCGCACTGCGGTGCTTGAGGAGTACCCACCAGCTTTTTCCGCGGCACTAGCTGGAGCAGTAGCTGATTGTTTCCATGTGGCCACCCGTCAGCATAACCTGACGCTGGGTCCTTTGCAAGCGCCTGAAATCGAAGCCTGGGTACAGGAGGCCCTTCAGGCCTGCGCTCACATTCGTACAGAAGCGCAATGGCTTCCCGATTTCCAAGGCTGATCACTTTTGTATTCTAATTAATTTCGTTCGCAAGGCGGAACGATGCACGGCAGCAAGGTACTAACCTTTTGCGCAATGTGAAAGTGAAAGTGAAAGATCCGATTGGATGACCATAGCCCCCAGATACCGTGGCAAATAATGTCCATATAGATCATATAGCATGTTTGGACCATGGCACGTATGAACACTGGATTTCTCAGTTGAACATCCAATGAATCGCTGCTGAAGCACTGCTGAACACTGGATTTCTCAGTCAATAGGGCTGCACCATTGCAAAAATATTGGGCAGTGACCCAGGTTGACCCAGGTCCAGGTGGTTTTGAACACCAACATTGGCTCCAGATGTGGTTGGGAGTGCACCTAGATGTAGAAAGATGGGTTGTTCGTCCTCTGCACCGGCTGGGGCCTGAGACTCTGAAGAAAGAAACGCCACGGCAGTGACGTTCATGTACATACGTATATAGATACATAGATACATAGATACATAGATACATAGATACATAGATACATAGATACATAGATACATAGATACATAGATACATAGATACATACATAGATACATACATAGATAGATAGATAGATAGATACATACATACATACATACATACACAGACACACACACAGAGACACACATACACACATACATCCATCCATCCATCCATCCATCCATACATACATACATACATACATACATACATGTATGTTTCGATAAGTTCAATCCATCATCGCCTGATTCTGGGTCTGAGGAATCGCAGAAAGATAGCGGAGGCCATTTTACCTGCTGTGTTCTTACTGTGTCCTTCTGCCACTTGTATTTTCAGTGCTAGAAATGGGGTGGCAAACATGTCAAGATGTAAGTTGGCCAATTTGTGTTGGCAAATGTTTGGATCGTTGGAATCAATTTTCACGGTGGAGGCGCCGGTCAAAAGAAAGGATCGCAAAAGAAAACAGCGTCCGGAAAGGCACGGATGATGCGGTGACTCTGTTGCTTTGAAAAAACGACCCCTGCAGCTGGTAGGATGCTACACCTGTGACCCAGAATGTTGTAGTCGTCGCGGCTTGGTGGCAGTGGCAATGGATCTTGGGTTTCCCTGGGTCCGTTGTAACAAGGGAGGCACATCCCACCTCAGGACAACCAGGGTGCCAAGATCCATGACAGTGGGACGCTCAGAGTTGGGATGTCTAAAACCTGCCCTCCTTGATTTTCGAACTTCAGAATCGAGTCCAGTCGAGTTTGGAGGAAGCTTTGGACCGCAGCCCACCGTTTTTCGCAGGCTATGACATTGACAAGAAAAAGCTGGGTGAAGGATCCTATGGAACCGTGTCCATTTGCACTAGCAAGGCCACGAAGCAGAAGAGGTGCCCGAGGGTTTGAAGAACGTCGGACGAAAATAATTTGTCAAACGCACTTGCCACGACCGCTGTCAGAATCACAAAAAAAGTACAGATGAATATACACTAGCGTCATCCAACATCATTGCACGAGATACTGATGATATGTGAATTTGTATGTGAACTTGATTGAACTTGAACTTGTATGTGATATGATATGATGTTTTCAGCTCAATGAGTGCAGCCTTTTTTTCTGCCCATTCTTCTCTTCACCGACATGATGTTCATGTGGCGACAGGGCTGTGAAAGCCCTCAGCAAGACGCAGATGAAGAACATAGAGTTCCTTGCCTTTGCCGAAAAAAAAACAAGTTGCATGATCCATTTGAAGAGGAGAACCTATATCTGTGTATGTGTATATAATACTGTATATATATATAGATAGATAGATAGATAGATAGATAAGATAAGATAAGATAAGATAAGATAGATAGATAGATAGATAGATAGATAAATACATACGGAGTTACATGGAATATTAGTGGATTCAGAGTTGCCCAACTCTGCAGCCATCCTTGGGAGAAGCCACATCGGCTCAGGAAATTTAAGGAAGAAATCCGGATTATGCAGCTGATGGACCGGGGTGGTGCCACTGGCCCTGGCGTATCTTGGGAGGATTTTTACGGAGGATTTTTGAGGATATCCCAAAGTTTGAGTCGTTTTTTCTGCCAAATTCTAAAGGTGAATGGATCATAATGGATCTATATTCACCAGAAACGAGCCCAAGCTGTGCCCAGCTTTGGTCCCAACGGTAGGACCACCCCAACATCATCAAACTCTACGAAGCGTTTGAGGCAAGGAAACCTTGGGAGAATCAAAGGTGTGGCCACTCTGGATATCGGATCCAACATGATCCAACATGATCCAACATGATCCAACATCACCTGACATATTTCGGGGTTTTGATCTTTGTATTCTGTACCCACTGTACCCTTCAGCTTTCAGCTCGAGTTTCTACTCTTGTTCAACTTCCAAGTGTAACAAAAGTCGAACGCCACCGGATTTCAAATGCAACAAAAGCCTGAGCATGGCATACCACAGCCTGACAGATAGATTTCATGTGCGTTAGTGCACCGAGGATAAGGTGAAGGTCTACTTGGTGATGGAGCTTTGCTCCGGTGGTGAGCTTTTTGATCGAATCATCGATCTGGGCCACTTCACTGAGGCGTGGGTCTGTGTGGCAGAAAGGTCCACCGGTCACCAGCCCTTTGGGTTCCAGTCACATCATGTGCGGCTTGCCGCCAGGTGCAGGCTGCGATAGTGATGCAACAGATGTTCCGTGACTTGGATGATGTGATCACGTGGCCTTGAAAAGTTTGTCACCCAACTACAAACTGCAACAAGCTGCTGTTGCAGTTTGTTCTTTTTTTGGATCAGATGTGGGTGAGCCAAACAAGCATACCAGCCCTCATCGCACCAGGTGCAGTTTATTACATGCACCAGAGAAGATTGTGTCACAGGGTCGGGGGCGCAAGCACCGAGTGACCATGCTGGGAATGTGGCTGGGGCATGAAACATCATGAAACCATTCCCAGGGAGTACTACTGGTAGTACCCAATGCAGCAACCATCTGTTCTTGCACCTATTCTGGCTGTTGACGATTGCCTCTGTACACAGATGTTATTTTGAGTTATTCTTCCTTCTGAATGATTTCTGTGAGGTTAAAGTTCAACTTGCCATTTCACCATTTCCAGCGGAATTTCACGAACGTTCTGTCAGCACACAGAGGGACTTGAAGACTTTACACTTTACATCCTGCGCCAGGATTTGAAGCCGGAAAATTTCTTGTTTGCCACCAAAGAGAAGATTGAAAAGCATGGACCTTGGATGACTGAAATGGGCGAATCCAACAGCAATGAGTTTCCTGCTGTATTCCTTGGCCCGTTCCTGATATGAAGTCATTCACATTCGACGCCGTCAGATGTTCCCTCTTCCCAGGACCTTTCTTAAGATCATCGACTTTGGTTTGGCCTATGAGTTCAAGCCAGATGTGGTGCGCTGCCGTGGTGTTGGGTATCCATTTGAGTTTTCAGCTTGTCACAGGGTTTATCACAATTTCTCACAGTTTTTGATCTATGGCAAATTATGATCATTTTTTCAAGTTTATCACGGTTTCTATTTATTTACAATTTATATATTTACAATTATTTACATAGTTCGTTTAGAAGTTCCTGGCCTTCTGTGCATCTGCAAACTGACGTGCCAGCCCATGACTACCAAAGCTGGTACGCCTTTCTACGTAGCGCCTCAGGCGTCCATGGGACGCGGGGGTCGGTTGCATGTTGGATCATGTCCGTGCCAGGTCACTACTGTGGTTTCTGGCAGGTTTAGGTGTAGAAATGCCTAAGAGAATGCTTGAGAATCGCTGAGAGATTGGGAATTTTTGGGAATCCAGAGACAAGAGAGTCATTCCGTGGTTGCTTCACGCAGGTTCTGGAAGGCAAATATGACCAGTCAGCTGATCTGTGGAGTTGTGGCGTCATCATGTGCGCTCAGATTTTTCGGGCTTTGCGGCTTCGTTGAGGATTGTCACTGTTTCATTTCTTATTCATATCTTGTCAATTCTTGTCATATCTTTGTAGATGGAAGCAGACTTTCTGACATTCGATCATTTGCTTATTTCTGATATTTTCTGATATTTCTGGTGATCACCAAATCGAATGGGGCCGACATACTGTTGGATCTGTTGGTCTTTGCTTTGGCTCTGGGGCTGGGGGGACTGAAGCCAGGTATGTCCTACTCTGTGGGTATCCCCCCTTTTGGGGTGACACTGACAAGAAGGTTCTGCAAAAGGCCGGTGGAAGCCGGTGGAATCCGGTGGAATCATAGTGAACTGTTGCGCCTTGAGCATCCTTGAGCCAGGTTTCCAAGGGCTCTTTTAGTTTCAATCCAGCAGATTGGAAAAACGTGCCTTGGCGGCGAAGAGACCGTTGAGCTGACAAAATGTGACACACAAAACTGGGACCAGGGACCAGGAAGGCAGGGAACCTTGTCTTTGAAGTGACAGATTTTGGAAAACACCAAGACTCTGCCATTCTCTTCCTTTCTGCAGCCATTTGGTGAAATTTCAAGATCTTTTTCTCCGCTTTGAAACCGCTGATCTGAGCCTTCAAAATCATGGCTAGGAGCAACAAAGAGGTTTCGATGCAGATGCAAGCTCTCGGTTTGGAACCGCCGAACGGCTCGCTCTTGCGGAGATTTCCCCACGTTCTGCAGCCCCCGCTGCGGGTTGGTGGGGTTGGTGGATGCCCGGCACGGCGAGCACCGCGTCGTGACGAGGACACGGCCGAGAGTCCGTCAAGTCCATCCGCGTCCACATCAGCAACTGCGAAGCAAGCGGAGAAGGCCTTGGAATGAGACGGCTCTGTCGAAAAGATCAGACTTGATCATCAGGCCTTAGCATTCTCTATTTGTAGCATTGGATCATCCAAATGTGCAATGTGCAGGGGCCTCTGGGGCGTGCTGTCCGAAGATCAAAAAGGGAGGTTTGCAACTTCAGAGTTTCCAGCTCCAGCACAGAGGGTTGAAAGGTTTCCACTGCTCGGGTCAGAATGCTTAGAAAGGGGAAGTGAAGTGGCCAAAGACACTGCAACATACCAAACTGGTTAGACCATGTTTATCATTTTTTATCCATATTTAATGGGTAGCTTTTGGAACAGATAACGCTTTTTGCAACACCGTTCTAAGAGAATGCCCGATGCAGGTGCTACTGTCACAGGCACACCGTGTCTGTTCTGTGTGAAGATTTTAAGTAGTGTCCCATGTCATACTGATGTGGAAGATCCGTTTCTTTTCAAGGGTTTTGTGGTTCAGCCAGAGCTTGTAGATAGAATCAAAGCCAAGTGCGTTTGTTCAGTTGGTTGTAGAGTTTGTAGTAATACAAGCTCAGCTTAAGCTCGCCATGCTGTTCCTGTGCAGGATGAATTTAAGAACTCCGTTTCCATACCTGTGGCCAAGTTTCTAGCGATTCTGGTGGTTGCAGAGCATCATTCAGTTGTCTTTGTTCTTTCATTCAGTCATCCTGCATAACATTTTCAGTCTGTACAGTTGTCAATAATTCGATTGTGGAGGCTGAATGCCTGTGCCAAACAAGGCAGTTGCGATCCCTTGCCATGTGCAGGAGGATTCGCGTTTGCCTGTGAGGACACTGGTGTAGATGTAGCTGATGGTGCAACATCTTGAGTCTTCGAAAAAGCAGTCGACATGTGCTGGGCAGCGGTGTTTGGCGCCGGACAGCTGCAGCTCACCTATTTCACCTTGTAACAAGATGCTTTAGATACAGATGGTGCTTGGAAACTGGTGCTTGGAAACTTATAGAGATTAGATATACATCCCAGTATATCCCCAATTATTTTTCCATCATATCCCATTGATTCACCATTCTTGTTGTTTAAAAGTTATTGGATAGGTCCTGGACGTTGCGCAATCCCGTCGTGATCCTGTTCTGAGGTATCTGAGGATGCAAAGGGACTCATCCGAAATCTGCTGAAGTTCAGCCCAAAAGAGAGGCACGTCGATGCTTTGAGCATGGAGGGGCCACCAACATTTCAGGATGAAATGGACAGAGACTGACAGAGACTGACAGCGACGGTTTTGCACAGCCAGGATCACGGCGGAGCAAGCCTTGAATGCTGAATGGGTCGCGATGTCAGACGCGCGATGTCAAATAGGATTCGTTCTCCGAAGTTTGCTGTGAAGGTGGACTTTGCTTGTTGCTATCCTATGTTCGTTTTATCTTTTGCGAGGATGGATTCTTCTTGTTCCAAATTTCCGTTTTCTTCGCCCCCAGTTCATGCTGGCTGCAGTCCATGCCGAATGGCAACATCGGGATTTGAACACCAGGATATCAGGGTGCAATGACCTGTTCCCAGTGGTGAGTATTCCAATAAATACACCACCACACCATACTGTAACCACGTTGTTTGGTTAATTCCTATTTACATTTCTGTCATTCTCACCAGAGGGGTGCGAAACATCCAAGCTGGGGTACAAAATCACCAGGTACAAGAAATTGGTCATTCAACATCATTCAACTCCCAACTTCAATGGAATCACCATCTCATCCCATGATTTCCCAGCCAATACTTCCCATAACTACCACTATATACCATGCAAGTTGGTTTTTTACATTCATAGATTCAGAAACGCCTATGCAGTAATTATGCACAAACAATATGTTAAATGTCTAGGAATCATTTTATATCACGCCAGTTCTTTAGTTCGGCGCTATTTTTCATGGATATCCCGTTGCCACAGATGATATGATCATCCCATATCCCGCAATCTTCCCTGGAAACCATAGTCTTTGACGATCTTTGATGCTATCAAAAAAAATATATCCCCATCATATGAATCATATCATAATATCATATCATATCAATCATATCATAATATCCCTTTTCAAAAGTGATTCATATCCCATGATTTCCCATGAATTTCTTGGTCCATGGGAGTCTTAAATGGAGTCAAGGTCAAAGACCATGCTCCCAGAGCCACGGATGTGTCCATTGGTAGCGGTCTGGTGGACAACCTGCGGGGCTTCCGATCACAGTGGGAGCCCCAGTGGGCGATGCGTTGTGACGATGGGGTGTGGTCGCTGGGGGATAGCCTGGGGGATAGCCATCGGATTTCGAAAAAGGGATCATGGGGAAAGATTCGAAAGATGATAAAATCATATAAAATCTTGTGAATTGATGTGAATTTCATAAAGCCATGATTTTTTTGGGTTTCAACTTCGACACCAAAAATGGATGGATTTGGTGCTTTTGTCTCAAGGATTTCCAGTCCAGGGCATTCCAATGTCGTTCAGCCAGGAACAAACTGAAAAAGGCAGCCCTGCATGTCATTGCTGGACAGATGACCGATTCGCAGATCAAGGACGGGGCGTTAAGGGCTTGGCGTTGGAAGGGGTTGAACCTAAAGTTGAAACCATCCTCTTGAAAGAGGCAACCGTGATTGAAACAGCACCGGGAAGACTCAAAATGCTCTGGAGGTTCGCTTTTGTTGCTGAAATAGCGTCCCCTCTGCAGCAATTGTGCAAGTTTTGACCAGCAGTACCAGCGGACCCACGCTGCAATCCGGAGGATTTGCGAGAAACGTTCCTCGCAATGGACGTCAACGGTGCCAATGCTCAGCATTGGACCAGATTTGTTTGAAGTTATTGATGTGTGGAATAGAATGGACTATATGTAATTGATAGTTACATAAGTTATATATACAGTCAGTGCCAGAATTATAGAACGGAGCCAGGAGGACAAAAGTACGGTAAAATACCGTACCTTTGTCCTCCTCCGGGTTCCGATTCGGAGCGGAGTCGGGAAATTTAATTATAGAACGGGGAGGAGGACAAAGGTACGGTATTTTACCGTACTTTTGTCCTCCTGGCTCCGTTCTATAATTTCTGGCACTGACATGATATTTACTGCATATTTGTACATATACAATCTATAAAATGAAGATTTAATGAGGATTTAATGAGGATATGATGAGGAAATGAAGATAAAATGCACATAAAATGAAGATTTGATGAGGAAACGAGGATAAAATGAGGATAAAATGAGGATTTAATGGGGATTTAATGGGGATTTGATGAGGAAATGAGGATAAAATGAAGATTTAATGAGGATTTAATGAGGATTTGATAAGGAAATGAAGATAAAATGATGATAAAATGAGGATTTGATGAGATAACGAGGATAAAATGAGGATGCTGTAACATGAGGATAATGGGAAATGTGGAAAAAATGGGGGAAAACAGAATTATAGAACAATAGCGCTCCGACAAGAATTATAGAACGACGAGAAAAGCTAGGAGTAAATTCAGATACGTTTTTTTTCTACCTTCCGAGGAAAACAGAATTATAGAACAACAGGGTACGGTAAATAACCGTACCTTCGTACTCCTCAACTTCCGTTCTATAATTCTGTTTTCCCCCATTTTTCCCACATTTACCAGGTGATTTTCTTAGATTTCATGGTGATTTTATAAGATTTCATGGTAATTTTATGGGATTTCATGGTAATTTTATGGGATTTCACGGTGATTTTCTTAGATTTCATGGTGATTTTATAGGATTTCTGGGACCCCGGAAGAGGTTCTATAATTCTATAATTGATTTTTCCGTTCTATAATTAATTTTTCCGTTCGACGGAAAAATTAATTATAGAACGGGGCCCGGGGAAAATTAATTATAGAACGAAAATGGGAAATGTGAGAAAAATGGGGGAAAACAGAATTATAGAACAACAGCGCTCCGACAAGAATTATAGAACGACGAAAAAAATTAGGAGGAAGATCAGATACATTTTTTTTTCATACCTTCCGAGGAAAACAGAATTATAGAACAACAGGGTACGGTAAATAACCGTACCTTCGTCCTCCTCAACTTCCGTTCTATAATTCCGGCACTGACCATATATATATTATATACATAATAGAATATGTATATATATAAATAGATAACACACACATATATACATGCATATATATATATATGTGTGTATATGTGTATATAATATATATATATAAATAGATAGCACACACATATATATATATATACACATATATATATACATACTTATACATGCATATATACGTGTGTGTATATATATATGTATATGTAGAATATACATAACTTCTAATTATTCCTTTCATAGCATGGAGCTCATGTCGCCTTTGTGGTCTCTGCGCGAGGTGATGGCTTGTTGACGGCCAAGGAATGGGATAATGGGAGATGATTGGATTCGGATCTTGAAATCGTGACCAGTTGTGGGATGCCGATGCCATGGCCATAGCTGTCATGTTCTGGTTGAAGGAGCTGGAAGAAGGGATGCAGAAGGCCACTGATCGATGGATGCTCATGTCCCTGCACCACCACATGATTCGCAGGGATACCTCCGACAAATGGATCTTGAAACCTTTTAAAGGCTGTTTGTCTCCAGTTTGGCTGTCTAGATGTCGCAATTACAGTACCAAGCATTGGCAGTTTTTATGAGCAACTTGTCCAGATTTCGGATCAGAGCCCCCCTATGCCGCAGCAGCTTTCACATCTGCAAGGCCGGCATGTCGAATCTTCCACCAGAATTAGACCAAATTCTGAAAGATGTTGACAGCAACGGCAGTGGTCTGATCCCCCAGGGCTGGTTGTGGGATGTACCCGGCGGATTCCCGCAGTGGTGATGTGTTGCCGATGTTTGAGGGTGTTGTGACACGTGTGTGTACGGAAGAAAGTCATGAACAAACGTTTCCTCTTGGTAGTTATAGTTTCTTCCAGACTCTCAATATGTTCTTGCATTTTATGGAAGGCCGCAACTGGTGTTTATGAGATTTGGCCACCTAACCTATGCTTTCGAAGGGGTTTGTTGCATCCAGAATCCCCTCTGGGTGTCCTGCATGATGTGAAGACGTAGTGATTTTCCCATTTTCCCCGTGAGGTCACATCGACTACACCGAGTTTTTAGCTGCAACTCTTGATAGGCGAGACCGAGAACCCCAACAAAATGTGGTGGAATGGATAGGCTAAACTCTGCACGCCTTGGATCGCCTTGGACCCTGTGAATTCAATTTTCAATATCTTTCGAAGTTTCATACAGAGTGGCGCAAGGCTTGGTAGATGGAAGTAGATGACGAATCTCAGGTTCTGCCGCTGTAGGTTTCGTTGCATTCATCTATACATTCTGTAGATTTCGTTCCGCTTGGTGATTTGCCACGGCAGGAAAAAGTACATTGCGGAGGATGTGTGCTGGGCAGCCTTCAGGTGGGGAGGATGTATTTTTCTGGAGGTTTCCGAATGGCTGGGGGTCCAAATCATCCATTTATAGATGGATTTTCCATGATTTTCCATGAAATAAACCACTTAATTTGGGTACCCATCCATTTATGGAAAGCCCCATTTGGAAACACCGAGCCCACACCGAGACCAATTCTTCGCACAGGGTCTTTGACAAAGACGGCTCGGGCACCATCAGCCGTGATGAGCTGGCACAGGCGGATGAAGACATGATGCCTGGTGCACCGGCACCAGATGGCACCAGTAGATGAATGTAGCATATGTATCTTGAGAATCCTTGAAGATTTGGCATTTGGCTGAGCCGCATGGCTGAGCCGCATGTTGGAACCGAATTCCATCCGTTGCAGCCCATCATCCCGCGGGAGGTCTTGAGCGATGGTGAAGTCAAAGCCGTGGCGCAGACCGACCTCAATGAACTCCTAGATGTTGAAAACTCAGGGGGCTCTCAGCTGTGGCGTTAAGGACGATAAGGACGTGCTGTAATAATCCAGTGTACTTTGGGATGGAGTAAGTAATAGCATGTAATACCATGTAATACCCTATCATTAGCTCCTGGTCTGGTTGGGGTTTAGTTGAGCTGTACCTTCTCAAGATTTCTCAAGCAGATTTGGAGAAAGCTAGGAGTCAAGCTTCTGCCAAGGAAGTCGACAAGAACGGAGACGGTGAGATTGACTTCCAGGAGCAGCTGAAAACTTCAACATTTGCTGGTGATAGACAAACCATCCTATACAATAAGTCACTGACTGCCTAAAAAAAATCTAAGAATGCTGCAAAGAAACTTCAGTTTCAAGTCAAGCTTCGAGCTTCCAGACTTTCGCTACAGACTTCAACAGCAACATTTGGGAGTCCAGTCCTTTCCAAATCGACAGTCTATGTATTGTTCAGACACTGAAGTTATCAATTTGTACTTGTATCTACTGTAGTATCTATGGCGCACTGCAAAACACCCTTGCATACTATGGGTTTGTCGCAGTCTCAAAATTAGGACCGGAAAAACTCAAGGCTGGGCATAAACTTCCGCCCATGAACATTATTATTTTGAGATATCGCCCATTTTGAGGCAAACCCATTGGCACAAGGGAAAGCTGCAAAGCTAAATGCCTTCAGGAGTTCATGCACATGATGAGAAAGGTCAATGATGAAAATGCCTGAGGCGTCACTGCAGGAGATCAGATGTGGTTCCATATTAATTGATTTAATGCCATCCGCAATGCCCCTAGTATCAAGTACCCCCAATAGATGGCCCCCCAAAAAAGAATAGATCTAGTATTACACCAGAGTTTGTAGGGGTCTAAATTATATAATATGACGGGGAAGGGGTTCTTCATTCAAACGATAATTCGGACTATCAAGATCTATGAAGAAGCTGCAGAAATGACGCTGGAAGATAGTCGTGGGGACGGCTTCTTCAATTCGCGACAGTCCATGATCATCCATGATCCAAAATTAAAAGTATAAAGTATTATAAAATATTATAAAGTAGTCTAAGGCTTGTGAATATTACATAATATGATCCATTTGGAAACCTCGCTGCTACCCATCTCGTCTCTCCAGCTCCAGGCACAGCTCCGGGAGGCCATGTGGATCCGAATCCGGGCGTTTCGGAAATGGGATTAGGAGGGAAAACATGACATATCTGCAGAATATATGAGTCATATGAGTCATATGAGTCATATGAGTCATATATATATATATATATTATATTATATTATATATAACTTATATAAATATATATATATAACTTATATAACTATATATATATATATTATATACAGATACGCTAATCATATTATTTGAATCTATATATTTAATAGATTGAATGGATTGAATAGATTGAATGGAAGACTCCATCCTACAGGATCCTTGACCAAGTCTTTCATGTTGCAGATGCTTTGGGCTCAACTCTGCCGATGGGCCGGTCGATATGTCAGATGACGAGGGCCCACGCAAGGGAAAAGGCAAGAAAGGAAAAGGTGGCGGCGGTGGCGGTGGAAAAGGTGGAAAAGATAAGGGAAAGGGAGGAAAGTCTTCCGGTGGAGGAATCAATGTGAGCCGTTTGCAAGTTCTGCCGAAGTTTTTGCAAGAGATCCATGCCAAGTACAAACCTTCTAAAGTCGCTCGACTGCAAACAGGGTTTGCAAGAGTTGATCCATCAAAGGGGTTTCAAACAATCACCGTGATTTGATCGGTCTTTGAAGACTCGTCCCTTTTCTTTGAAGGCTCTAGTCGCGACATGGGTGAAGGTTGAGTTTTCTTTATTGCAAGCTATTATGTACTTGAACTTGAACGTGTTACTGGTAAGTATGACATTGGTTGAGGATGTCGAGGACCCTCCATAGAATGGAACCAGGCTTCCACATGCATCGCATAGAGACGGTGGAAGCCGGGGTCACGTTTAAGCTCAGTAAGGTAGTACTTGTAAGGACGGCACGAATATTGCCATAAAGTAGTGAAGTTACCACAATTGGGGTTTATTATTAGGATTTATTGGGTTTACCCCTATTGGGAAAGATTTGTAACCCGCAAATGGTTGGTTAATGGAATGTGTTTTTTTTTTTAAATGTCTTACCACACATGTTCCCGGTCAATGATGGTGGAGAGATGACAGATTCCCAGGACAAGCGTGGTCTGAAACACGCAGAGCTGCAAGACAAGAGCTCCCCGCTGGGAAACAACGATGATGACGCTACTTGACAGCAGTTTCTAGATGATAGCAGCTACTCAAAATAAAAGACTTTAAAGATGATTAGATGATGTTAGACCGTGTCAAATGATGTTTACATAGATGATGTTAGATGATCTTAGATGATCTTACATGATGTTAGCTGGTTATGCGGAATAAGCGGCATCGATCTTTCTTGGGGCATAAAATACAAGCACAGACGAAGTGGTCCAGTGTGGTGATGAAACTGATGAACCACAGAAGTTGGCCTTTTTTTTACTGGGCGAGACGACCTTTTTCCACCATGGGTCGAAATGAACATGGCAGTTATCATGTTTTCGGAAGCTTTCTTTGTGATGATGTGAAACAGTTGAACATGAGGTTCTGATTTGGGTTTTGTGAGGACATGGTTGCATCTATCGATCAGTTTTGCGTTGTAACAATGTAACTAGATTGCTTTGCACATGCACAAAGCGCATAGCCGCATAGTCAGGAATATGACTTTGAAGATGCGCAGATCGTGGATAGCAATCTCACAGAGGAGGAGATCAAGGTCTTCCAAAGAAAACGTGCCGTCCCCAAAGGGCGAGCTGAGGATCCTGGGCCATCGCCATCTGGACCTGTGCGCTTCCAGGCCAAGAGGAAGGTGGATCAAGGTAAGGATCAGGAGGATCAGGAGGATCAGGAGGATAGCCAAAGTGCTGCCAAAAAGCAGGACTCTGCAAAAAAGCAGGACTCTGCCAAAAAGAACGATAGCAATTATGGTGCAGGTCTCTCCAAAAAGAAGCAGAGACTAAGCTTTGATGAAGACGACAGCGCTTAGATGCTGTGCAAATTGGATAGTTAATGTGTGGGCGCTCCAAGTCGCCGGGCGCCGACGAAGCTTGGGCAAAATCGCTGTGCCGCTGTGCATTCCGGATCAGCATCCACAGAACTTGAAAACGCCTGAAAGGAACCTCGAGTCACAGCCGTTAGATCCCGTTAGTACAAGTGAGAGATATTGAAAGATTGGAAGATCCTGAATCACTATGCATGGTATTGCCAGGTATTGCCAGGTATCCTCCCATGTGTCCTTGGGACATCGCCAGGTTGTTGGTCTTCTGAGCGAAGAATTGCACAGCCGTCGCCAGGCCGCTCAGCGACTGGTTCCATGAAGCAATGGACTTTGATGTTGAGAAGATCCTGCATCTTAAAGTGAAACAATGTGAAACATATTCAGAAAGGTATAGAAAGATTAGTAGATATGTGCCCCCGAACTATGGGATAGTATTCTATAATATTCTAATAGTTGTATAAGTTCTATAAGTGATAGTAGAAAACTGCAGAGAAACAGACATTCAAAGGTTCATTAGGTTCATGTGATTTAATTGGTGAGGAGCCAAGCACATTGGAAAGCATTTGGCCACTTTGCTTTGGCCAATCCTTTGTGTTTGGATCTGGCCCAAAAAACAGCATAGTTATACATTTTGAAGGTGTGAACAAAAGAATGCAAACGAAAACTATCACTTTTGCAAGGGTTTCTTTTCAACCACCATTTGTTGGATACAGATGATGATATACTATATATATACATACACGTAATATACAATATCTAACTATCTATATGACTATGTATACATAGAAATGGCATTTGAGTCTTCCCGTTTGACTGATACGTTTTTATCGCAGTTTCATGTGAGGGTCCAAACTTTGCTCGTTTTTTTGGTGCAGTGTGATCATGCATCCAAATTTCTCACGAGTCTCTTCAGTCTTGCTGCAAACTTCTTTCCATCTACTAGCACGTCACTACGTCAAAATGACAACTTTTCGGCGTCGTAGACACAAACTATCACGAACTCAAGGTCCACCAAGCGTGTATTTGCCGCATCCACAGGGATGTTCACACGGTCGCGGCCGACCTTTGGCTTGAAGTCACCACCAGCCTGAAACGGCGAGGTGTCAAGGTCGCCATTGCAGCCGGTTTCACGGCACCAGTTGGTGCCAAAGTGCACAACGCAAGTAGAAATGGGCCATGGAGGGAAAAGTAATGTCAACCCCGGATTAATAAACCATGGTTTATTAATTAGGGGGGTACTCCTCCAATAGTCATAATCCAATACTTAAATGGTACCACCCCAATTAACCAGCCTAAGGGTTTATTAATCCGGGGTTGACATTATGTGTCATATGACTGAATGAACAGTGCCATAAGTGGGTGATTTTGCCCTGAACAAATGGTAGATTCTTCATGGCAACTTTCTGCCAATGCCCATGGTGTTGCCGCGTGAAGTCGATCAGAACGACTGCGTAGTAGCTCGAACAACCGGACCACAGCGCGTCTTCTGTGAGACTCACAGCCGGGGAGGAAGGCAAAAGCCAATATTTCACGACAAAATCAGAACAACTACTAAGTACTACATTTCTCAAGGTTCGTTCTTTGACTATCACTTTTAAAACAACAACGGAATATCACTAGATATCAGCATAAACAACATAGTATCAACATATCTCAATGATTTCAATGTCTGTTCCCGCATGGACGTTCCGTTTGCAGACAAGGCCTGCAACTTCAGCGGCCAACGGGCCGACGAGGTGGCTAACGGAGTTGGCAAAGAGGGCGCTGAGTTGTGACGTGGGGTGGCGGTTGGTTGGAAATATGATGGGTATTTGATAAGTACATAGTGGGATGTACAGCTTTGCAATGATGGAATGGGGAACATTGGAACATGATGATTAACCATTGGTTTTAGGGGTATCCTATTTGCAGACAAACCATTATGGGGTTATACTGTGTTATACTATCCAATATATGGGGGATTCCAGTATCAGACACTGACACTAAAATTTCGAAGCACTGTGAAACTTCCAGAATTTCACGTAAGGAATTTTGAGCGGAAAAATAGGGCAGGACAATTTTGATGTGCCAGGGGCAATGTGTGGATTACTTCTACAATATCCTGATACCTTACTCGTATTTTTCATTCTTGCAGATTTTGCCGTCTTTTGAAGCTTGGTCCCTAGAGATCGACATGCGCATGATGAATCAGCATATGTAGCGACAGGATTGTGGACTGAGCTTCACTGTGAATCCAGTTGATTCCCAACTCTATGTCTGACCATCTTCCAGCTTTGGATCAGATTTCAACCAGAAAAACAGCATGACCTGAATCCACATTCACAGCCACCTCCACCGGAAAGCGGATGAGCTGAAGCCAATCGCTCCTTCGTCGTCGCTGGAGCTTGAATCTCAGTAGCTGTTTGGAAGCTTGGAAGACTGGTCTCCATCTAGCACTTCCGTCAAAATGTGTGCTTCTGTCATGTCAGGTTTCGCAGTACAGACAAAAACATGCTGCATGTGACTAGGGGTGAAGACTTTGCAGACTTCTACTCATGTCCGTGATGATCTGTTACTCTCCTTCAGTCGTAGACAGACAACAAAACTTGGAACATTGAAGTCAAGCGCACTTTATTTGACCACGCTAGAAATGTCTAGACTATTCTATATAGATTGTTGTGATTGTTGATGATTGTTTTGGGCTTTCAAGCGCACTCCATTGCTCAGAAAAAGGCAGCTGATGTGCCCTTTTGCTCAAAGGAAACGGGCACAGGCTCCTTCAGTTTGCTTGTGATTTTGGCTGCTGACGTACTCCGGAAGCTGGCGTGGCTGCCCCACGGCAGAGTCCACTCATCATGATGGATGCCATGAAGGACGTGGTAGACTTTGTGGAGGAGCATTATCAGAGGTTCCGAAAGGATGTACCAGAAACCAATCGGAGCTCCTTTAAATTCCTTGTTCTTGGTTCATACCCTGCACACATTAGGATGATGCAGAGGAATATGCAAAATCCCATCCCATACAATGACATTGACATTTTTCACAAGGACATTGACTTTGCCAGGTACATTGCAGGCAAGCCATTCAAGCCTCTCAGCACGGAACAAGGACGCAAGGAACTGAAGGCAGTGCAGTACGTCCGCTTCCAACCCCACATGGATATCAACTATGTTTGCTTGAGCTCTACAGCCGACCTGCAAGCACGTGTTCATGAATCAGATATCAACGCAGTTGCCATCGGTGTACTGGTGACCTTGAACTGGATCACATGGCAGCGTAAAGGTCGTTTGATTGAATCAGCACCATTCACGCAATTCTTGCAGACGCAAACTTTGGCGATGTGTGATTTCAGATCTCTTGTCAAGCCAAAGAATGCCCTAGCAAGCTTGGTGCGGTTGCTGCACAAAGCGCAACAGTCAAATCTCAGGGTTCTGCGACCATCAGACGTTGACATTGTCAACATGTGCCATGGTCGCGCAATTGGACCTGAGCATGTGCAGATGTATGGCAAGTTGCAAGACACATACAAACAGTGTATCAATCATCTCTTCTTCTTCAAAACAGAGACCGACGAAAAGACACGCACCAACAGGTGCAGATTCTTTTCGCGTAAAGCAGCACCGCCAGACGTAGACGATTCACGCACCTTATCAACCTGTCAGCTTGCTTTATCCTCGACAGTTCACGACCAGGTTGAAGGAACTTGCTATGCCCATGCTGTTGCGACAGCTGTGCGCGCCACGGAGAAGCGCATAGTTGGCAGGGTCCCTATGTCGCATGACCAGATTGTGCAGCAGATTGTCGCAAAGCATGGCACTAAGGGTGCGAACATGTTCAGAGTGTTACAGGAGGAGTGCGCGGAGCGGCAGTTGGGGTGCCGCCCTGTGGAACTTTCAGACATGATGGAAGTTCTGCAAGCAAACCGTTCTTTGGCTCTCAGATTTGAGTTCTCCGAGGATGTTTGGCATTCACCAGCTTTCGAACAAGACCCCTAGGTGTGCTGACAAGCGATCCAAGAGTACCAGCCAGACTATAGCCTGCCCAGTCAAGGAGGGCATGCAGTGTGCGAGGTCTGATTTATCATGATGGCATCCCCTGCATTGAGCTGAAGAACTCCTGGGGTTCAAATTTCGCTGATGGAGGCAACTTCAAAGTGGGACTCGATGTGGTGCGCGATCCTCGATTCAACTTCCAGTTGTTCGATGTCTTCTTCCGTGTTCAAGACCTACTCAAGGAAGACCTTCGGAGGTTTGAAGAAGAGGAGGAGCGTATTCGAAAGATGAAGACTCAAATGCTTATCAAGGCTTATTGAGACTGATGAACGATGTTCGGTCCTAATTTTTTGAGTGTCCAATCATGTCCAGACTGCACCTGTACAGTCTGCCCATGTTTGCTTGACACATTTTAAGAGAGCAAACATATTGCGCGAAGGGAAAGAGGACCTGCAGCATCACAGGCCGAAACCCACCGGGTTTGGGCAAAGTAGAGCCATGATTGAAAAGGCAATTTGAAGGATACCAATGTTCACAAAATCTTAGGATCCCGGCATAAACTGGGCATAACGAGCAAGGCAGGTTGTCTGCTGTGGCTTTCTGCTAAAACTTATAAAACTTATAAAACTTGAAGTCTTGAATGGTCTCCTGTCTGAGGCTGGGCGGCGCAATTGCACTGTGAGCAGAGCGCCCAGCCTGTTCACCCATTGTTAGGGCGAGCCACTTCAGGCTGTGCTTTTCATGCAAGTTTGTCACATTATTCTGCCCAAACTTGCAGGCATACCCTTGCTTTGCTATTCCAAACCCAGCCTGGCCAGCTTGCCTCTGCACCCATCCTCTCTCACCAGCTGAGGATTCAAATGGTGTCGTTGGACGTGTCAAAGCAACGGGCTGCACGGGGGCCCAAGTGCCAGATCTTGCTGGCTCCTGCTTTCCCGATCTTTCCTATCTTTCCTGAGGCTGAAGCATCGATGAACCTCACAGTATGGGTCCCAGTTAGAAACACATGTTTATGATTTTTTATGTATGTATGGATGTTGATGTGGATGTTGATTGAGTGCATTTGACGTTTTGCTGAAGCTGCCTGGCTGCTTGGAACTTCGGGTGGAGAACACCAGCCTGAGGAATTGTGAATTGTGGTGGACTCCTCACTTTGAAAATGACTTCCGATCCAGAATTCTCAGATGTTGTACTGAGGCAGGTTCTTACAAGACTCTTCTGAAAGAGGCTGACAAAGAGGCTGAACTGGTATTTTACATGTTACATGCTATTGGGATCAGGAAGCAGTGACTCATCGCCCAGCTGGGGCAGACCTAGGAGCACCATTTCGGAAGATGAATCGCCATGTCTTGGATCCAAAGTAGATGTACCATGATATAACATGTACATCATGTACATATATAATTATATATATATATATTATAATATAATATTACATCATCGTGTAGATATGTGTAGATCATCCAAAGGGTGACGTGGTCACCGTGGTCCGGTTGGCCAATCCTCGTCATCGGATTTCCCTCCTCGACAGGTGGACGTCGAAAGACCGAGCCTGGATGAGTCGACCCAGCGTGTGGAACTTCGCTGGCGCAAGTGGGGCTGATGAAATTGGCATCAGATGTAGCTCTGAAATGCCAGGATCAGATCTCAAATGAAGCTGCAGCTGATGCCTGGACCTTGGCGGGTATAGGATATGTCAATGTGCCAAGCTCCAAATGGATACTGCCCCCCAGACCCAGATGGAGGATGCGTGTCATGTTCCCCACATGTGACTGGCTTGGCTTCGACTGAGAGCCTCAGGTTGTCACCCTATTCCAAAGTGTGACGGCCTCAAATGAACAGCGTATGTCGGGCCTAGGCCCAGACATGTGACATGGGCAAGACTGAAGTACTTGCCCAGCTTAGTGATATTTATGTTTTGTTCTCAGAAAACTGCTGTTTTAACTTGCTTCGCACTCTTCTGTCCTGTATCGCTGCACATTTGGATTGTTGCACTCGTCCTATTAACATGACAGATCTTGTAATGTATCAAAATTGACGTTGATACTTAGTTTTTTTTGTTTAACAAACTTAGGCCTTGCCCTGTCTTCCTACAAGGCGCATATTGTTTTTTTTGTTGAGAAATCATGAATAAATTATATTCGAATCATCCCTACCCTCTTAAAAATGAAATTTGAGGGGGGGGGAGTCGTACTGAAATTTCATTTTAAAATTCCATTTTTGCATTTATTTTTCTCAATGATCAACATTCCTCGTCATTCCATATCATTGGCAAACAGATGAAAATCAAATACTTGCGCTTAGCTCCGGAGGGGCTAAGCGCATGTCAGACTGAAGCAGCACATGTGTAGGGTGGCATCCCTCCAAAAATTGCGCTGCCATCTTCACACTTGCGCTTAGCTCCTCCGGAGGAGCTAAGCGCAAGTATTTTCTAACCAGTGCCCAAGGCTTGTCAAGAAATATTACTTTAAAGTTCCATTTGAGTAATTGGATCACTATCCCAGGGTTTCCAAGCAAAAAAAGTGGAATTCGACAGGTTGGTTTTGTCCCCCCCCGCCCTCCCCCTCTATAGGGGTAGGGATTTCGAATCATTGCTGGACATACGCAATCGTTCCATTGCACATCACATATATTTATCAAATAATTTCAGGTCACAAGAACATATTTCTCACATTTCTCTCCACAGGCCAACAAACCATTGAAAATCGGAAATAAAACGAATATGAAATATATATATAGAATGATATAGAGATATTAATCGTTATAAATTATAATATTTTTTATCCAAATAAAAATATATAATACTACATGTATACACATACAGAACCAGAACCATAGGGTCGGCGTTTTCCGGGCTGGTTGGCAGATAAGATTTTTTTTGATCCTTTTTGGAAGGTAGGATTCGTATTTGTTGTATCGTAAGTGTAAAAGCCTATGTGTGCAAAAGCGTCTGTGTGTAAAAGCTTCCGTGTGTAAAAATGTCTGTGTCTAAAAACATCTGTGTATAAAAGCGACTCTCTGTAAAAAATTCTGTATCTGAAAAATTATTTGAAAAATACGATGCAAATTATTATCTTGTACTTGTTCTATATTGTCTTGATACTACTCTTCTCGTCTGTTTATAACACATCTTTAATATATTATTTTATAATATGGTATCTCCATACTAAGAAGAGAAGACCCTGCTCCTCCCTCTACACTCTCGGGCCATCCGTCGTCTAGTATTATCAGGTGCAAAAATTGAGGAAGTCGCGCTGACATGTTGTATTTTTGATGTTGTTAAATTTAAAAAATAAGGGAATATCGCAAAATAGTTTCGTTTTCCAGCTTGCATATATATAATTATATATATATAGATAAATAGCCAGACAGATAAATAAATAATAGATGGTGATCGATCTAAAGGTCCTTGTAAGGAGTTTTAATTGCGAAAGCCGTGCATGTTATGTTGGAAATCCTCGCGAAAGTTTTTTTTCGAGTTCGCGAAAGTAAAATTTTATTTGGCGAAAGTTTCGCGAAAGTTGGGTATTATAATCATTATATGTAAAGGGCTGCCAACCCGCTGCCGCCCGGGGTCCGGCAGGAGAAGGGCACCAGAGAATGCGAGTAGCAGTAGCCAAGTTTCCAAAAGTGAGGCTTTGCGAGAGCCAAACACCAAGGCCCCTGGTCTTCGCTTTTCCGTCACTGCACCCCCCTGCTGATGGCCGGGGTCTGTGAATAGGGATAATTTCGCGAAAGTTCCGAGAAAATTATGCGAAAGAGCGGGCGAAAGTCAAAGTGCATGTTGAAGGGGGTGGGCCAGTAAACTTTGTAAAAAAAGCTGTCCTGAGAAGGGATTCCGTGATGCTAGCTGCATGTTTAAAAGGTTACCAAGAAGTGATCCGTGATTCTCTGGCGTAATTTGGCAGGTGGTAAACGAATCTTCATAAGAGGTATTGTTGGCCAACATGGGCCCCGCGAAAGATAAACATGGCGTTTGCGAAAGTTTCGCGAAAGTAAAATTT